CCCCCCCAGGAATCTTGGTTGACAGCACTAGGCAATACTCCTACGTGTTCTTCGCCTGCAGCATAAATGGCTCCACGGCTGGTCTCTTCATCATGTTGTCCTTCTACTGGCTGGACAGACGGAAGGACAGCGAGGTTAAGAGCTCCTTCACTCATAAAGACACCAACTCACTGAAGCCAAGCATTAAGATGACCATAGACTGTGATTACAGTCCAGTGCCTTTACATAGTAACAGTGTCAGAGACATGGAGACTGATGTGTGATGTGTGACCACCTTGTGTGTATTTCACCATACTCATTTCATTGTGTCCATTCGGTGCACAGGAACCTAGTCTTTTCCCATCCTAGGTAGTGGACAATCAGATGTATTTGTCATAGCGTATGTACACAGACATAGTGCATAAAGGTTCTTGGACTTCTGTAAAAAAATAGATTGGACCAGAACTTTTCATAGTCTTTTTCTATTACATGGTGCCACATGGGAACTTGAATCACTTCGAATCATCTCATAAAACATTTTGAAAATCTCATTTCAGTTATTACTCTGGCCAGTTATAACTTGACATTCACATTACTGTAATTTAGATTCTTCTGGGAACAAATGTATGTAGAAATTATTATTATTTCTAGATGCCTTAAATTATAAACGTCATATCTTATAAATGATTTTTTTTTGTTTTTGTTTTGTGTAGATACTGCTTTTTAAAATCAGTAACTTATTTATATATATTGAAGAAAATTGTCATTTTCTCTCATTGTTGTTTGTGTTTGATCTCAATGGTAAATTGTTGACTGCTGAGAGTAGGACAGCAGACCAATAATTATAATAATGATAACGGCCCTGCTGTGGTCACATGATCAAGCAATGCTGGAAGTAAACAGTCACATTCCCTCCCTCCCTCGCCAAATTCTAATGCCTTATTTAAAGGTGCACTCAGTAACTGGTCCCTCATTTGAAATAAAAAAATGAACAGTCCATCAAAAATGTTTAATGAGATGCTGAGATGTTTGATGTCCCAACATGTCCAAGGTACAGCCGAATCTGTACACTTTATAGAAACAGATTCAGGCTAAACTGCATGGGGTTTGCTCAGGATAGTGCTAAAAAAACCAATGATGACCAATTACATGTGAATACACAAAATTATTTATTAATTATTGTGTTTATTGCATTTAATGTCCTTTTAATAGGAATTTAGTGTTAGCAGTGCTGCTGCCTATAGGCTTCATCATTTTCCCTTTAGTAATATTAATCTCCACAAGAGGACAGTGATAAACTCCCTCAGCCAATATATCTGCCACTTGTGTCCTTTAAATTCTAACCAAAACAAATCCTGTATTTCTGATACGTTTTTTTGTGTGCGTTTCATCATGATGTCTAAATATTACATGACAAAGCAATTTCACACAATTACATTTTTTATATTTTAATAAATGTTAATATTTCTTTAATAATCATAAACAATTGTTCTGTTAATGAAATGATTCGAACTAATTAAAAAATGAATAATGAATAAAATGCACTTTATAAATGAATCATAAAACAGTTTACCTTAAACATTGATACATTTTATTTCCGTTATTCAGTGGTGGGCGTAAGACTTCAAGAGCTTTAAAAAAAAAAAAAACACTTACCATCCCACCATGTATTTCAGTAAATATCTTTAAAAAAATAATAATAATTAAAAAAAACACACACACACTTTAAATAACCCTAAACATATGTAGTTATAAATACAATATATATATATAATATTATCTTTGTTATGTTTTATAAAACGGATAGTTCAGGTCCTTGATTCTGATTGGCTGAGCCAAGTTCGAAGCTGTTGTAAATTACGCTACAAACATACACCTTTGTTTACATTTGTGTGTTGCTCGGCAACCACTTTTTTGCTACCACAACTGTTTCTGAGGAACTACATTGTTTGGTGGAAGAATACTGTTTTTATTTATATCATTACACTATTTGCTCGGTAACATTGATACATTTTATTTCCGTTATTCAGTGGTGGGCGTAAGACTTCTTTTAAGAGCTTTAAAAAAAAAAAACACTTACCATCCCAACATGTATTTCAGTAAATATCTTTAAAAAAAACACACACACTTTAAATAACCCTAAACATATGTAGTTATAAATACAATATATATATATATAATATTATCTACATTGTTTAGCGGAAGAATACTGTTTTTATTAATATCATTACACTTTATTTGCTCGGTTTTATTTTGTGAAACCTTACTATGTATATGGAATAACTTTGCTACCACAACTGTTTCTGAGGAACTACATTGTTTGGTGGAAGAATACTGTTTTTATTAATATCATTACACTTTATTTGCTCGGTTTTATTTTGTGAAACCTTACTATGTATATGGAATAACCGTTTTATAAAAGCAATAAGCCCCGTGAAGCCGTGGTTTACAGTGAATTTATAACAGCTAAGGAGATTGTAGGCGACGCAAAGTGTGCCTTAGCTGTTATAAATTCACTGTAAACCACGGCTTCTTGGGGCTTATTGCTTTATTATGTTTGTCAGTAGAGCACAATCTAAAATGTCAACCAAACAACGTGTGGTTTCATCTTGGGCACAAGTCATCACAAGTCAACCCTGTTCAATTTCTGAAATCCTACAAAAATGTTCTGTGAAAGGCACGCGTATTTTATAGAATGGGTCATTCACTAGACATTTTCTGGACCTTTTCACCTGGAAAATAACATCTGTAAAACAACAACAAAAAAAAATGCAGGACTTTTTTCCATGACTGTTGAAAGAAACCGTAACTCCACACTTGCATTTTCCGTTTATTTGCACATATTAGACAACCAATCTTACATCTTGATATATGATTTTAAACCAATGCACAGTATGTAAAATTCCCTCCGTGTCAAAACATGCCATAAAGATTCTGAAATAAATTAAACAGCACATCAGCCCAATTTTAGTATCTACAGACTGGGCATCGCTGCCATGTTTACAAATCTATATACATGAGATAGAACAAAACAACCAACAAAGTGCGCGATAACTGTGAAATCAAAAGACTCAAAGGGGGAAATTAACAATAACAAGTGCTCCTATACTTATGATACTTGTGGCGTAAATGAACTGAACTTAAATACTGTGAAAAAAATAAGTTGGCTTCCGCTCCACGAGTGAAATAAATAAACGGTGAATATCAAACTCACCAGCAGAGGCACATGGGATATAAATGAGGTTCTGTGACGAAGGTCACACTGCACACGGACTGATTTACAGTCAAAGCCATTACACGAGTGAAACAGCATCTGTCTTTGTTTGTGTCGATATAGTGCGATGCCATCATGACCACTGCAGCTCGTGAATCTAGACACAGTAAACATTAGGTAACTGTGGATTTTGAAGTGCAGTTTCAGAAACATACATACAATCCTTTTGAAGCCCTAAAATAGTGGTTGCATCATGCAAACTGGTGGCCAGTCAGCTGATGTAACTGGGTTAATAATTCATTAGAGCGCTTCTAAAGGTAGCTGATGTTTCCATGCTACTGAACATGTTTTCTTAGCATTCATTCCAGTAAAAACATCTGCTGACCTCCACATTAAGACCCTTTACTGAAGCTGAAAACAGTGAACATGTAAATCCAGGCTGAGGGGACGTTCAGATTTACCTCAGATCCCACAAACACGCATACAACCCACACACATTCACCTGCATTAAACATACAGTGATGTTCACCTCAAAAGAAAATCCCTTCAACATCTTTTGAATTGTGCGACACACTAAAACACTCACACAGAAGCTGTGGTCTGACTCAGACCTTTGTCGTTTTGCTGGCTTTAGGTGAGACCTCGTGAGAACAGAGGTCTCAGGAACGGACCCTCACGCCTGACATGTATCTGTCAGACATGCTGGAGGCACGCCATCTCAGTCTCTCTCTCACACACACACACACACACACTCACACATTCTTTCGAGTGTCCGCTCCATTTCCACATTGTGTCCGAGCTTGTGTGGAAGTCTCTCACACGCTGAGAGGGAGCATGCCGGGAGGAGACACGGTCCGCGGGGAAGCCATGGCTGTCAGAGGATCCAGGCCATTCATATTCCTGTGAAGAACAGAGATGAGCAATACATCAGTAAACTGAATTATGTAAGTATTATACATATTAAGTATTATAAATCTTCAGGTAAACCGCTTGGGGTTGGGTGATATGATCCCACATTTTAACCCTGTCATATGCATCACTTAACCATGTCAGTGCTACACATCAGCAAACTGTACTTAGGCTTGTCACTATACCAAACTGTTATACACTGAACAAAACCTCACAGGTTTCTTTCGAGTGTCCGCTCCGTTTCCACATTGTGTCCGAGCTTGTGTGGAAGTCTCTCACACGCTGAGAGGGAGCATGCCGGGAGGAGACACGGTCCGCGGGGAAGCCATGGCTGTCAGAGGATCCAGGCCATTCATATTCCTGTGAAGAACAGAGATGAGCAATACATCAGTAAACTGAATTATGTAAGTATTATACATATTAAGTATTATAAATCTTCAGGTAAACCGCTTGGGGTTGGGTGATATGATCCCACATTTTAACCCTGTCATATGCATCACTTAACCATGTCAGTGCTACACATCAGCAAACTGTAATTAGGCTTGTCACTATACCAAACTGTTATACACTGAACAAAACCTCACAGGTTTTATAATTCCCAATATTACCACATAACAAATTAATAACCTGAATTAATTATACACCTACTATAAGTATGTCCAACCTTACCTGGATACACACAGTACATGTCAAACTTCTCGAGTACTGCATACTCGTCATGTAAAGCAATACTATATAGCAAATCTTGGCTGCATGATATATAATGTAAACTATATTATCGATCAGCTGTAATTTGTTAAATGCTGCAGGCATTAAGATATTAAAGGGATAGTTCACTCAAAAATGAAGATTCTGTTATTTACTCGCCCTCAAGTTGTTTCAAACCTGTATGAGCTTCTTTCTTCTGTTGAACACAAAATAAGATCTTTTGAAGCAAGTTGGTAACCAAACAGATGGCGGTAGCCATTGACTTCTATAATACTTTTTCCCCCCATACTATAAAAGTCAACAGCTACCGTTAACTGTTTGGTTTCCCACATTCTTTCAAATATCTTCTTTTGTGTTCAGCAGAAGAAACTCATACAGGTTTGAAACAACTTGAGGGTGAGTAAATGATGACAATTTTCATTTTTGAGTGAACTATCCCTTTAAGACATTATAAACATTAACATGATGATTTTCTGTAAAGCTGCTCTGAAACAATGTGTATTGTGAAAAAAGTGCAATACAAATAAAGTTGAATTCACTTGAATTGAGACAAAACATAATTAATAATTAAAAACAATGAAGACAAAAGATAATTCATATCTATTAGCCTAATTATTTTCCATAAATAAATGTCTAACAAATCTCCCCAGAAAGCTGTGCAGTCGTGTGGGCCTGGTGAGCAGACAGAATAGAAAGCGAAGCACTTACGTCTTGTCAAAATACGTAGTGTGGAGCGAATGAGAGAACTTGGTTGCGTTGCTGTTGATGAGGTTTCCATTTCCTGTTGCGTAATTTTTCCTTGCTGCCTGGTCCTTGGCAAAGTTCCTACAAGCAGCTAGTTTAGACTCAAGAGCCTGAACAAAAAGAGACATCCCAAGTTTTTCCATTAATATGTGCATCTAATTTTCGTTTGAGTCCATTCTGATACGGAATCAAAAGTAGCTCTTTCTAAGTGTTTACGTGACATTTTACCCCAACTTTCCGCAGTAGATCACCAACAATGTTAAGGGCTGAGATCCGTGCAGACGGTGTGAGGGGGGAGTTTCCACAGCCATTGGTCAATGCTTTGGAGAAAAGAAAACCGAGGTAAAATAGATGTAACTGCTGGCAGTCAGACTGTTAAGAGTGTGAATGAAAAATATGAGTTTCAATGGCTAATGCTGTTATGATAATTAGAGAACAAGGTGACCAATACAATGATAATATACAATATATGCACAAAATACTGATACATAATATACGATACTCAAAATTGCTGAAATGTAATGAATATTTAATTCATACTATTTAAATAGAAAAAAAAAATTAAGAAACTAAGAAAAAACAGAAAATGTTTTAATTTTACATTATCTATTAACAAGGCTGTTGTTATTGAGCAATAATAATAAACTCAATGACCAAATACAGCACCAACCTTTGGAAGCAATGAAAGGATGCTCCATGTTTTTCCCCACAGGTGTGGCTGGGAGGGACAGGGAGGCCTGCACTGCTGAGTCTGTCTTATCAATGTCTAGTGTGGGAGAGCTGGGGGCCGACATCCTTGCAACATCTGAAGTCCTCTCTCGAACTGCCAACTCTTGCCTCAAATCTACAAGAACATGCATATTTAGCACATATAAACCTGCACAAACTGTTTTGTGTTCAGTTCTTAAACTTGATAGCATCTGCTGCAGTATGCTTATTACCACAGAAAACAGTTTTGTTCGACAATTCATTTTCAGTTTTACTTTTTGTCCAGAATAGAGTGCTACAGGGATGCAAGTACTTTTTAGGCCAAATTTGAGCACTTCCAGGTCCATCGCCCTGAAGGTTTTTTTTTTTTTCGGTTTTTGCCTAAAAATGCCTAAAAAAAAAAAAAAGTATGTGGCTCACACAACCTCAAGATATTATCATGTTTTATTCTACAAAATCAGTAATACCCCACTTGTTTTTTTTGTTGTTGAAAAAGCTCGTCTTGAAAAAGGTGGCTGCTAATAATAAGTGCCTAAATGGGACTAGAGGTTGTCGAGACATTAAACATCATCACGTAAACTCGTATACTCACTACTCCACTTTCACTGCCTTCTTATGCTTATAATCATGATCTTGGAAACCTTTCTAACTTAAAGTTTTAGCAAAAAAGTTTTTTGAAATAAAGAGTGAGAGATATCTGAAGCTTAATGATGGTGACATTAAAGTCATGTGACCGTGGTGTAGTTTAATTAATAGCCTACATTTAGCTTTTTACTTCTGCCATATTTATTAAGGCTTCAGAATTCTTAAATAATGCTTTTCCTGAAGATTGTGATTCACAAGCTTTTGTTGCTCACAGAGCTTATTTTCTGCAATAATCCAAAAGCTAATGGAAAAAAAAAATCCTATTGGATATTTGTCAAGAGAACCAGGGTGATACAAACTTCTGTGTTGGCGCACAAAAATGCTTGACTTCCATTACAAGTTCATTAATATACACACAACTTGTAGGATTTCTTATAAATTATGTATATTTGCACATCACCTTTTTTGTGCTAACGTATTGTCCAAAAGCATTACATTAAATTTTTCTGCCTCATTTGATCGGATACATGTCATTATAGTGAAGAAGAGTCGTTCATAATTTCCACATCATTTCAAATAGAAAAACTGAGGAAATGTCAGCTATTATACCTTTAATGGCAATGCTGCGAAATGAAGTATGGCCTGTCATAAAGTTTACCTCTAGCTTCATCTTTCAGCCTCTGCACTGAGACCAGCAGAGACTCCTTCTCGTCCAGTTCACTCTCCAGGAAGGCGTTCCGCTCTATCGCCTGGTTTAGCCTCTGTTCAAAGTCCTCCAGAGATGTGATGGTGGCCCTGTACAATCCAGGTTGTCATTTTAAACATGCTGACCTAAATGTATCTTCAGCATGACACTTGCACCATGCTTGTTGGGCATTGGTAACACGTAGGCTAGTCTTGTCATAAAGTAGTCTAGCAATCCAGAAACTCAGGGCCAAGTTAGTTTAGAACGACAAAACGATCTTGTCATGTACCTCTTAGCTCTCTCCAGGTCGTCGTTGGCCTGCTCCAGCTCCCTGACATATTTGTGCAGCTGCTCCTTGATGCCGCGCGTTTGGACCAGGTCGTCCTCCAGCATGGAGATCTGCTTATAGCTCTGCATGTACTGCTGCTCCAGTTTCTCCTGCAGTCAGGGACACAGGAGAGACACAGTCTGAGTCACCATCAGAAACAACCTGAACTTTCTGCCAATGGCAGGTGAGAAAAAACTCAGAAATGACTATTTTTCCTTCTGTGTTCCTGTACCAAACATAAAAAAATTAAGAGTCAAAACCATAACAAGACCACATGTCCTACTGTAACGCCCACATCCAGACATCCCCAGCTTATAACTACAGAGAGCGCAATCCTATCCAAATTAGAGACGTTCTGGATCAAGCTCAAACCTCTTTGAGAACAGATTTATTTTTTCTCACAGTGGCTCAATAGCAACAAGTCTGTATCAGTTTCTTAAGGGGAAAAAAAGCTATTTTTTTTACTTGCATTTGACTCCATTTTTGGTTGAATTGCCCCTTTAATGAGCAACAGGAAAATGAGGATCACTGGTGCACATGGCAACCCTCCCGACTTCTCCTGAAGGTAACCTACTTCCACCTCATTTCGTTTATTCTAAATAAGCACATTGTTTTGGGCCATGGCAAAATAATGGGTGTCCCATATTCTCCAAAACAAATGCAAGGTCAGTGGACAAAGGCTACTAGTCTAGCCTTTCTGAGAATGCGATCACTTAATGAACATGCTTTCTGGGACAGCAACAAGATCAAATTTAATTTGTGTAAGGAGATCTTGCACCAATAGAAGCAAGCACTATAAATTACAGCCTCTGTGCCGGGTCTACCTAAACCCAAGCCATTAAGAAGATATTTCTGTAAGGGTCTTAGAGGAACAACTGTGCTATATGTGAACTTTTCTGCTGAGCCATTAGACTTCTATTTTCTTCCTCTTCATCCTGAAATCCAATTGCAGCAGACTTGGGATTAACAGAGACCCTCGACAGCTCTCACACTGGACAATGCTGCATCACAGAACAGCACAATGTTCTTGACCAAGCACAATTGGAAATTGGAGCATTGCTGATGCTTTACAGATAAATCAGCCGATTAAAGGTGTGTGGAGGTACCTCTGCCATTAGGTTGGTTTTGTACCCATAAAGAAGCCGAACTGTATACGTTTGTAGCATTTTATTTCCATGAAGTCCACTTACTGCATACTCTTCATGCTCTCAAACACATCATCAGGTTACTAGTACCTAAAACATGACATCTGTTATGACTGGCTAACCCCAAGTAAGCTATAATTCTCATGGTTTGTGACATCAAAGGGTGATTGCTACAAAAACTGGCAGGTCGCATTTATACCCTAAAATAATGAAGAAAAAAAAACATTATATTATATAATTTGTACATATAAAACAAAGCCTATTTTAGAACAATTAAGATTTTGACATTGTGACACTAATCTCATGACAATTAAGCATTTTAAAATATAACTGCAAAAACTAAATTAAGTATAACAAATACTACCATTATGCATAATTACATCACAGTTTAAATACATTAATTTGGGTGGTAAAATGAAATGAAAATAATGTCAATGCAAAAAACTAAACAAAACAAAACACTAGCTTTCAGTTTAGGTCAGTAAGATCTCATATGCTTAACAAGGCTGCATTTATTTGATTAAAAAAAAGTAATATTGTGAAATATAAGTATTTAAAATAACGGTTTCTTATGTATATTTTAAAATATAATTTATTCCTGTGATGCAAAACTGAATTTTCAGATCCTTCAGAAATCATTCTAATATGCTGATTATCATCAATGCTGAAAACAGTTGTTCTGCTTAATATTTATGGGGAAACAGCAATACATTTTCATCAGGATTCTTTGATGTATAAAAAAAAAAATTCAAAAGAACAGTATTTATTTGAAATAGAAATCTTTTGTAACATTGCAAATGTCTTTCTGGTCACTATTTAATCAATTTAACGCATCCTTGCTGAATAAAATTATTAATTTAACATTTTTTAAAAACTTTTTAAAGGTTTTTATTTAAAATAAAAATGACTTAAGTTAATAATTTTTAAGAAAAATCTAATTTTGTATTTCTTTTTATATTGGAATAAAATTACTTGGACATGCTTGACAGGCTTCATGAGATTCACTTTCCATAAATGAGCCTGGACCACCAAACCAGTCTTAAGTCGCTGGGGTATATTTTTAGCAATAGCCAAAAAAACATTGTATGGGTCAAAATGATCGATTTTTCTTTTATGCCAAAAATCATTAGGATATTATGTAAAGATCACGTTCCATGAAGATATTTTGTAAATTTCCTACCATAAATATATCAAAACTTAATTTTTGATTAGTAATATGCATGGCTAAGAACTTAATTTGGACAAATTAAAGGTGATTTGCACCCTCAGATTCCAGATTTTCAAATAGTTGTATCTCAGCCAAATATTGTCCTATCCTAACAAACCATACATCAGTGGAAAGCTTATTTAGCTTTCAGATGATGTATAAATCTCAATTTAACTCCACGGTTTTGTGGTCCAGGCAGGGTCACAAATGGTCTGGGTGGACTGAGGACAGAGATTTTGTGTCATTTCAAAAGAGCAAAGAAATTTCAGCTCTTGTCCTACCTTGAGTGTGTCCACCTCGCTCTTCAGCCTCTGGTTCTCTGACTGCAGATCTCGGATGCGGTGTTCAGCCTGACCCAGCTGAGCCTCCAGCTCGGCCTCCAGCTCTCGACTGCCCTCCTGGAACTCCTGCAGCTCCTCCTGAGCGTCATGACAACTGCAGATATGCAAACATATAAAAAAAATTAAAATAATAAAAATAAATCACACGTCACCAGCCATCTGGAGCAGCGGCGGCACATTCATCACATTAACTATGCAATGCAAATTGACACCCAGACTGCAACAAAAGAGCTGACATGATCTAAGCATTCAGGCCTTGACAGCTGGTGCTATAGCAGATAATGAATTACAGTTACTCAGGGCTGTGGCTATTCACACTGGAGCCACTCTGGAGGTCCTAAGACCAATTTAAAACAGGACACCCGTTACCTGACCATGTTCAACAATAACAACACAGCAGAGGTCAGCACTTCCTGAATATCAGGAACATCTCATGGCCAGAAATGATGCAGTTATGAAAAAGATCTACTTAATGCATCTGCACAGCCAAATGTGCACTTTGAGCCCTTAAAAGTCAGAGGTCAGAGGCAGACTTCAGATGAATAGTGAGGTCTGGCAGCAGGAAATGAGCTCAACAGACTGAATGCATGGTCTTGGTTATTTTTAGACAGCGTTTCCGAAGCTCTTTTAGGCAGGACATGTCCCGTTAACCCTGGTCACTTCCCCCCAGCCTCATGCTGTCATGTGCAGAGGGAACCTTCCTTCCCTGAAATGCCAGACATATGCGGACATGCCTTCTCAGCACAAACCATTAAAACACTCACTCGACAACAGGAAGCTGCTCAAAAGCACATTTTCAGTCCTTTATGATATTGGGATTATTATATAGTACCATTCAAAAGTTTGGGGTCAGTATTTTTTGTTTTAAAGAAATTAATACTTTTAATCAGGAATGACGCACTAAATCAATCAAAAGTGACAGTAAAGACACTTATAATGATACAAAGATGGCTACATTTCAAATAAATGCTGTTCAATGATGCTCTATTCATTGAAAGAGGCTCTATTCAACAAATCAGAATATTAGAATGATTTCTGAAGGATCATGTGACACTGAAGACTGGAGTAATGATGCTGAAAATGCAGCTTTGCATCCCAGGAATAAATTTAAAATTTAAATATATTACAACAGAAAACAGTTATTTTAAATTGTAATAATATTTCACAACATTCCCGTTTTTTTTTTTTTATCAAATAAATGCAGCCACAGTGAACATAAGAAACCTTTCCAAAATAAAATCTTAGCGACTCGCTGGCAAAGAATCTATGTATAAACCATGTCTTTTCTCTTTACCTTTTCTGAAGTAAATGGGAGTGGTTGCTTACATCTTTAAGACTTGATGTTCTGTCAAGTGAGTTAAAGGGGCTTTAAAAGGCCCACTCATTTGTGTGATCAAAAGTGACAGTAAAGACACTTATAATGATACAAAGATGGCTACATTTCAAATAAATGCTGTTCAATGATGCTCTATTCATTGAAAGAGGCTTTATTCAACAAATCAGCATATTAGAATGATTTCTGAAGGATCATGTGACACTGAAGACTGGAGTAATGATGCTGAAAATGCAGCTTTGCATCCCAGGAATAAATTTAAAATTTAAATATATTACAACAGAAAACAGTTATTTTAAATTGTAATAATATTTCACAACATTCCCGTTTTTTTTTTTTTATCAAATAAATGCAGCCACAGTGAACATAAGAAACCTTTCCAAAATAAAATCTTAGCGACTCGCTGGCAAAGAATCTATGTATAAACCATGTCTTTTCTCTTTACCTTTTCTGAAGTAAATGGGAGTGGTTGCTTACATCTTTAAGACTTGATGTTCTGTCAAGTGAGTTAAAGGGGCTTTAAAAGGCCCACTCATTTGTGTTGACTATTTCCAGGAAAGCATGTTTTGCTCCTTCCTCAGCAGGAAATTCCTGGGATTTGAGATCTTCCTGTGCTCCACCAAGGCTCTGGGGCAGTAAAACCACATCTCAGGAGGAGCATGTGCATGTGCTGAAACTGTGTAGGAGTTCAGAGCGGCACAGACAGAGACCACCAACAGACACACGGTCAGCATTAGCGCCAGCACCAACTGTGAGCTCTGTTTTAGATCAGAGACACTCTCGGGCCACTTCTGGATAAGTCAAAAACACGGTCTAAGCTGAAGAACAGAGGAGGATACGCAGACAATTCACGTACTAGCGTTTTGGGCCTGAAACTACAAAATATATGGATTTCCTAACAATAACATTGGGAATGAGAAAGATCACATAATATTTCACTGATCACATAAACCAACTGAAACTTTAAAAAGACATCACGCCTAACTAGAATATAATCAGGAGCACATTATGATGTTTCAAGCATGGCATATTTTAATAAATGAGACTGTGAGACACCAAACATAACAGCAGGAGTCATGGAACATCTTCTCAGGTTAACAGAGGGTCTCTTTTGTCAAGGGCAGTGAAAGGCTCTCCATGACAAAAAGTGCTGCAGTCATATTTACAGCCATTCACCACCCGTGGGGCTTGTGATTGTAGGTATGAACACAGAAACAATCATTATTGTCTCAGCTAGCCAAAGTTTAACTAAAATATTGAGGACAAAGATTTTAAAAACCAATCAGCATTGTTTGGCTGAACATAAAAGGTTGACTCCCCATGGCTTTTATGTGAAGATAAACAGCACACTATTGTAAAAAGCTCAGCTGGTTGCTATATTTAGTAGTTAATGACTTCAGCCTACCTCTTCTTGTATTTCAGAGACAAGCACTTCCAGTAATCGATTTCCTCGTCTTTCGAGGAGAATTTCGGCATCATCTCTGTGTCCATGGTGGAGACCTGTGGAAGCAGATGGGAATTAGAGCAGTCCTGAGAGACACAGAGCTTGTTCATTTGCACCTCCTACTGCAGTTTTGTCCAGGAACGACCCCACAAACAGATCACAGGCTGAGGGCCCATGGTGCGTGTCCTCATTTGACACACGTCCAATAACACTTTGTTCACCTGGCTCTCTACCAAGCTCACATGACTGACTTGGTCCTTTACAAGCTCACAGTTTTACAGGTTGCACTCTTTCAGTTTCGTCTGTATTGCGCTTTTCACAGTATGGTTTCAGAGCAGCTTTACAGAAAATCATGATGTTAAGGTTTATAGTATCTTAAAGGAATAGTTCTCCCAAAAGTAATATTCTGTCATCATTTACTCCGAGTCAGCCTCATGTAGTTCCAAACCTGTATGACTTTTTATTAATCTTCGAAACACAAATGAAGATATTTTTAACAAACCCTGAGGAGTTTCTATCCCTCTACTGAAAGCCTGTTCCACCAAAACTCTAACATTTTAAATAGTTTATGAGGATATTGTAAAAGTAATCCATGTGAATTGAGCGGTTTAATCTAAGTCTTCAGAAAAGACACAATCGCTTTACATGATGGACAGGTTTAATTTAAACCACGTCTCTTCAGAAGACTTGGATTAAATCGCTGGATTCATATTGATTACAATTGAAGCTTAAAGTTTTTGTTAAGTGGACTTTTGTTGGTGTGACAGAAATATCTTGCGTTGCATGTCTTTTATGTTTGTGTTTTCAAGATGAATGAAAGTCTAATAGGTTTGGATATTGGATCATGTTAAAGAAACGGTTCACCCAAAAATGAAGATTCTGTTAATTTCCCCACCCTCACATCAATCATTTTATGGTAAAATCATGGATATTCAGTGTAAGACTTCCTTTTGTGTTCCACGGAAGAAAGAACATTTGGAATAACTTGGACGTAAGTAAAGGACAACAGTTTCAGTTTATAGAGATTACAAGCATTTTAGAAATCAAATGTGAAGCCATTTATCACAGAAGGACAGAGCAGTTCTTCAATACATAAAAGCTTGCTCAGAATAAGATTAATGGCTACAGATATTGTCCTTTTAAAACCATTAGGCACACCTGGATGTGAGTTATAGAGGCACAAACGTGTGACTGAAAATGACCTCTCATTAACATTCTTCATCCTTGCCTTGTTTTGGGACAACATTTGTTTGACCAGCAGCACAGAAATACAGTGTTTTTCTGAAAATTTCATCCAATTAATTCCTATCATAGCAGGTCTTCTCGTATGCAATCACTCATTAGATCTGACATGATGAAGAGCTCTAAGCCAAAATCATCCATTTCATTCAGCACAAGGCCTCTATCAGTGACCCAACCAGCAGCAGACAAACCTGTTCTGCTTCAAAAACAATCAGAAATATTCCACACATCTCCGCAATACTTCAGATTCTTTTCCGGGTTCTCAGGAGTGTCACATGTTGTGACCCAGTGCTTCTAGACTCCTGCTCTAAATAACTATGAGGGATTTCCAAACCAAATGACCCATTTAAATAGAAAGAATAGAAAACTAAAACACCTGTCGCACCCTCATTATTGTCAGTTTGCGTGTCCATATTTATGTCAGGTCTGAAACTTTTGAATTAAGATTTCAGTGATCATACTTAATGTACAGGATAAATACTCAAGTAAATGTCACAATATTAAACTTTCTTTGCATTAGGTCAAGTCTGTATGTTTAAAATTCTATCGTTTAATTGAGAATAAGTGTAATACTTAAGTACAATGTAAAATAATTTAAAAGGTCAAACGATAAATTAAATAGGCCTAAGTTTGAATAAAGAATAGTACCTGACGCCACTATTCCATCAAAGACCCAACAAATTGCACCATTTATTGGCAGGCACAATATTAAAGAACAGATTAAGCAGACAATTAAAAATACTGATTTAAAAAATGAACGAAAATGACTATAGATCGCGCTCTAATTTAAAGAAACAACATATGCTAAAGAAACACACAAAATCACAGGTGTGCATAATAATAAAGCCATCAAAACACAAAAACAGCAGTGGTTTTCTACTCTGGAGCAGAATGGGGCTCCAGTGGGATTTGCTCTCCTGAGGGCCGTCAAAACTGATGTCACTTAAATTGTGGTCATTTATAATGTCTTAAGCCACCATGCAGAGTTCCTTGCCCCTCCCAAACTGACTCCTGACAGTGAGGCCATCTGTCCGGTTACAGAGCGCCTGTCCCACACCACAGGACAGTGGGATGGTTCCCGTCTAACGCAATGCTTTCCGCAACCTACACTCTTCGCCAGTAGCTACGCACAGTCAGAGGTTCAGAGGAAAGGCCAGATTTTTGTTTCCAAGGATGACATTATTTCCAAAATCACAATTTCAGCACACACCCTCCTGCTGAGTAATACACTATAAACATGTGACATACCCTTAAAGATTAGAGGACGAGATCTGTGCAACCATTAAGTTATCTGCCCTGCTTTCAAGTAGTATATTTACAGTCAGCTTCATACTGACTGTACTTCATACTACAGCATTCAGTTCACTGAAGACCGTGGGCTTCAGGAGAAACCCCCCTGCACTCCCCATCATGGACAGCACTGTGACTTCAAAGGAGTCATTCAGGTTCCTGGGCACCACTATCTCTCAGGACCTGAAGTGGGACACTCACATAGACTCCATTGTTAAAAAGGCTCAGCAGAGGTTGTACTTCCTTCGCCAGCTGAGGAAGTTCAACCTGCCACAGGAGCTGCTGAAACAGTTCTACTCCGCCATTACTGAATCTGTCCTCTGCACTTCTATAACTGTCTGGTTCAGCTCAGCTACCAAATCTGACCTCAGAAGACTACAGAGGGTAGTCCGGACTGCTGAGCGAATCATTGGTACAACCCTCCCTTCTCTCCAAGAACTGCAGAATCACTCTGGACCCCTCACATCCAGCACACTCCCTCTTTGAACTGTTTCCATCTAGTCGACGCTACAGAGCTCTGAGCACCAGAACGACCAGACACAGGAACAGTTTCTTCCCTCAGGCCACCCATCTCATGAACACCTGACAATAACTGTGGAACACACACTATTTATTCACTCATACACTTATTTATCTAACACACACACTCAGTCTACATTTCAATTTGCACATAATATACCTGTACATGCAACTGTCTATTGTTATATACCTGTACATACAATTGTCGATTTGTATATTTTTATTCCTTATTTACTTGTTACAATTTGTATGTATTTTTATTATCTGTTTTTGTTCTGTCACTGTCATTCTGTTGCACTGTGGAAGCTTGTCACAAAAACAAATTCCTCGTATGTGTGAACATATCTGGCAATAAAGCTCATTCTGATTCTGATACATGTAAGTGTCTAATGCAACATCGTAGTGTTTATTTATAATATATTCAGGTGTGACAAGACAGAAATGGCATCAGATGACAAATGTCACAAAATGTAAACCGAATACAAACACAGCTGTTTTCATACATTAAAGGTACAACTGATCTCTGTATAAATGTACAAGACATACATGCAATATTTATCATGAATGTTACAGCGCAAGATAACTGACAACAGATGAAAGAACCTAAGCACATCACGTAAACAGAAAAAAATAGTGTTCGCGTAATTAAAATAAATACCTAGCGGTCACCGTTCAACTCAAAAACAATCACGAGGATGAAATGTAACACTTCACATTAGCAACACAAGCACAGTTCACTGAAGGCGAGAATCTGGATTCGCTGAGAAGAGAATAAAAGCGGACGTTTCTCCCGGCAGGCCAGCGGATGTGAGCAACATTTATAAATCAAAGTCAATATCGAGTCTGTATCATTTAAATAATCGCCATCACAGCTCATTCAACCGCGGTTTAAATTCCCAGAGATATACTTCGGTCGAGCAAAGGCGTTTTGGCTGTAACGTTCCGCCAGAAGAAACCGGCACATGAAAGAAATCAGGTTTCGGAAACCGTTGGTCTTCACTGGCCAGAGAATGACAGCTTAAGATAACAGTCTGGTTAAATGATAAAGCCTCGCACTTCTCATCGAGTACGGCGTGTATAATTATCACTGATTAAATCATAAATGTCTACCTTATCATGTCCTACTCCTGAAGTCGGCGAACAGGCTCGGCGTCTGCTCTGCGCTCGAGCGTCGGCTGATAGAAACGCCAACGCGACTCCACTGACTTCCCTCTTCAGCTTCCGGTAAGATGACGACACCGCGTCTTTGCGTCACGCGAAGCACATTCTTATTTCTGACGCAGAGTCTGAAACGGACACGATATGCGGATATTTGGTGTGTGACAAAACGGGGAATAATCAGTGATTCATGTTTCATTTCACAACTGACCACATCTCCTCTGTGGAAATCACGCCACAAGATGGCGATAGGTCTCCAGTATAGATGTAATTAAAAAATGGGATATACATAAATGTAGATTTGATTTAAATCGTATATATATATATATTTTTGTAAGATATATATTATTTTCGTCACGCGAAGCACATTCTTATTTCTGACGCAGAGTCTGAAACGGACACGATATGCGGATATTTGGTGTGTGACAAAACGGGGAATAATCAGTGATTCATGTTTCATTTCACAACTGACCACATCTCCTCTGTGGAAATCACGCCACAAGATGGCGATAGGTCTCCAGTATAGATGTAATTAAAAAATGGGATATACATAAATGTAGATTTGATTTAAATCGTCTATATATATATAGTTTTGAAATATACATATTATGTTTAGTTAAAAAAAAAAATTCTCAATTAAATTTAGTTTATTCAAATTTCTTTGTGTGACTATTTATTGTTATTGTTACCACTTACTGTTTTCGGTTTTATTTTTTGTGCATTTATGAATCTTTTTCATTTCTCTCTCTCTCTTATTATTATCATATCATTGAAAATATTTCATAAAATAAATAAATAAAACATTTTCATTTTTCTCAATAAATAGTTCCATTTACTACTACTACTACTAATTATTATTAATATTATTATTATTATCGAAAATATTTCATCAAATAATGAAAGTAGCCTATGTTTATTTTTATGTTATTTTTTTCTCTATAAAACACATTTTCTCTTTTTGTTTATTTTTCTCTATAAATATTTCCATATAATGTCCATATAATGATAATAATGCATTAATATTATTGTTGTAATAATTAAATAATAAATAACTAGAATGTATTATTATTATTAACCCCTTAACTGTCACTCACATTTGTGAACATAGTCGTGAAAGTGCACGATCTAAACTTACATTTATATAATTCATGAACTAAAACTTTTTTTTTATTTTGTAACATGATTTTGATGTACCATTTTCATGGTAATGCAATGTTTGATTTTAAAATGGTTTTCAAAGGATGAATTTTGAGATTTTATGTTTTCAATTGATATATCATTTCTGATGATTTCTGAAGTGTGATAGAGAAAAAGGCAACGAAGAAGACTTTTTGTTACAAAGGTCAGAACTCCTGTTATGATGTAGATTTTTGATGTGCACTCTTGCCATAAATGAATCAATTACTTTTCCTACATCATTTTTAACAAAAAATTGTAAAATATATATTTAGGAGTCTTAGACCTTTCCAACGATATTCGTCATGATTAGATTAGGATTTAATTGTAATATAGTGAACTTAGGCGTCCCACTGAGGTGACAGTTAATTAAATTCTATAAATTATAGAATGTAGTAGCTGTTATAGCAGGCTATGTGAAAATGTTATGTAGCCTATATGTTAAGGAAAAAAACATACACACACACACTCACCCCCCAAACAAACGACACTTATAATACTTGAAAACTGCACAACTGCACTGTTTACATGGAACTGGTTCTAGTTTCATCTTCTTCTTTCTAGTTAACAACAGATCTAGTTTTTCAACATTTCTGGCGTGACAGCGGCTGTGTCGTCACGGAGCCAGCATGTTATCTTATGGGAGTATCAGTTACCTGCGCCAGTGTGCGTCTGCTCGCAGTCCAGCATCTCAGAGCCAGTCGAGGAGATCCAGGTGGAGTTATTTAAAACCGGAGAGACATGGATGAGGAGGCTCAGGACAGCGAGTGTCCGGTGTGTTACGAGAGTCTTTCGGACAGCGCCAGGGCACTCAGCTGCGGGCATCACTTCTGCCATGACTGCTTAGTACTAACTCTGGTGAACACCAGCCTGAACGGATCCATTAAACAGGAAAATATCATCTGCCCCGTCTGCAGACACCTGACATTCATCACAAAGCTCCACGGATTCACAGTTTCAACGGCTGAAGCCAAAAGGATTGGAAAGACATTGGACGTACCATCTATACGCACTCCTGTATTCCCTGTTGGGTCTCATACTGGAGGTCTTGGCTGTATCTGCAGGTGTCTAAAGATAATTTCATGTAGACTATGTAGACGAAGACTCATCTGTCCTAAAGACGCTTCAGAAGTGTTCATCATAAGTGAGTTGGGTCGACCCATGACAGAGGGTGATGTTATTGACATTGAGACAACTTCAGGCTCGCAGCAGGACTACAGCAGTAATGGACAGAGGCTTTGCACCATCTCCTGCTGCCTTCTGATCCTAATGATCACTTTCACCTTACTGGCTCTGGTGGCTGCCACACTTCCATGGGTTTTGTTGGCTTAAAGTGTCCAGAACTGCTTCTATGTGGTACCTTGTGTAAGATCAGTCGCATTAAGTGTATTATATATCATTATTAATCCATACTGTGTCTCGCTGAAAACGAGATGTGTTGACTGGTTTCACAAGTCACAATGAATGTTTTGTGAAGAACTGACTGTTATTGTGAGATCTTTTCCAAGGCTTGTTCTGGCATGTCTTGTGAATGTCTTGGGAGGATAGGAGGCATATGGAGGGGGTTAACTTGCAAAACACTCAAATATATAGTGTTACTTTACAAATAAGCAAGTGTTTTGTTCTAGATCTGAATGCAAAAAGCTGTTAGGAAAATAGAGTTGATCTTGAGCCTGACATGCTTCCCTCATCGAGTTACTGTGAGGAGACTGGGTCATTTAAACGTGAAGAAGAAAAGATGAGCCGGTCGTCTGGTTGTCACTTGATCTTGGAGAAACACGGTGGGATTCAATTACAACTACCATGGACACAAGTTTGAGAAAGGAGGACGGGGAATGGTGTGATGAGGCTTTACTTTGAGCTTTTCTCTATGGCTTGCATTGCCTGGAAGGAATGAAACACACCCTCGCTTGTCCAGAAATTCTTGTCACACGGGCAAGAGAACTTCTTCAGCTAATTCCAGCCCTGAAATGACTAATACCTCACATTCCGCGCAAGTTAACAGTCATTACTTGATGGGAGGGTGTTTCTGTGACGTACCTGTACAGCAATGCTATGCATTTCAGTTTGTACTATAGTTCACCCCATTGTGTCTTCTCACAGAGGACCGTTATATTGCTTAGAGGTTGCTCTTTCATAGCTCAAGTGATGTTAATGGATTTCTCAATTTGAAGTATCAATTTATTTCGGTGAAATGCACGCCAATGAAATGTACTGTAAAGGTGCAGTCACATTTACCTCTGTTGTGACTTTTCAAAGTCGAAAATCCAGTCATTTCAATGGACCCTTTTCACGGGCTGATGAAAAGACCCAATCTCTATATTTTTCCTCTTTTGGAAAGACATAGAAATGCTATCATGGATTTTTGATGTTGGAGCAAATGGAAAAGCAAAAAAATATACTGTTGTAGTTCACTTCTGAGAACCTGAGAAATGTGAAAAAGGTCCATAGAAATCCACATGATTGGGAATTTTGTGTTTTTCCTATGCAAGTTTTGCAACGGTTTGAAGGGGATCAGCACTGACCAACAGAAAGCTCCTTGGTTTAAAAGTGACTTCTGTGTGAGCTTTTTGCCTGCAAAATTTCACCAGAATGACACTAATGTGACCGCACCTTGAGTATAGAGCTATACAATGAATGTGAGTTACATAGCCCAGATCATTTGGTTTCGGAAGTATTCGATTAAATAAAAAATGATAAAAGTTCATGATAAAATATCTGACTTTTACATATGCAGTCTTTTGCTGACATACAATATAAAGCTATAAAATTAATATGGATTATCGGCCTATAGTCAACAAAATTTGTAAGAACAAGAGATGTTTGAGTTTATATTGAGATAATCACCAGACTTCAGTTTTTTAAACATCTAGCTTTTTGCCTTTTTTCTAAAAATATAAATGATGATCAATATCCTGTCTTCCCTTACATGATTTCAGGATGTAGACATTGTTATTGCAGCAGTTCGAGGTGAACAACACAAAAGAAAACAAAAGCACTTAGCCCAGAAGTATTACAAATGTAGAGTTTAATATATATCTATGTATTTCTGACATTCTGATAAGGACTGCGGCAGGCTTCGCCGTACAGACTGTGTTCTTTCACTGATATGCTAAGCTGAGGAGGGTGATTTTACAGGCAGATTTGTACATTAGTTCGGTAAGCGGGGGTGAAGAGGGCTGTACATTGTTGGACAATGTGCACTGATCAACTTATCACCTTTGAATCACCTGTTCACACATCCCTGGTTCATAGTTGACTCCGTTATATGGTAATGTTTTAACGACACACACGTGATTATCTAAAGGGTATAATTAAATGCATGCTCTGTCAACTTGCTGGCTTTCACAGGTTGATGTAAATGAAGACCTAAATGACCAAAACAGATGATTGAAGTGTATTGAGAAAAAGATGAGAAATTCTCAGTCCAGTTTGTCACTGTTATAACTGTTTAAAAACAGATTTGTGGCTTCTTTGTATCATTAGTTCTTTTTGAACATATCATTTCATGTTGAAAATGTCAAATACATTAAGAAATAAATGTATCAGTACAAATTATATCTTTGTAATAGGTGCATTAGATGACTTTTACTTTACAAATCCTATTTTGAAAAGAGCATTTGTACTGTACTATAATGGTACTATAACTTTTTTGATTCAAGCAAGTAATAAGATACATTTTTAAAACATATCTGTTTGACTCATTAGTAGGCCTGCATGGAGTCTGTGCCCTTTACATGTTGGCTTAACATACATTTTGAGTTGTATGATAATGCTTACACAGTGTTCAATAATAATTTAACACAATTCCCATTTAAATTCAATACTGATTTCCCACAATCAGTACATAAAATGCAACGAAAAGCATCACAACAACAGGTCCAAGTCAGTGCA